GACCAGCGCGTGCGTGGACTCGGTCCACGGTGCGCCCGCCACCCGTGAGTCACCGACAGGTGGGGCCCGCTTGCCGGCGCCACCTCTCCCCGTCGGATGACGTCATAATTGATTTAAATTGCGCAATAAATCGGTAATAATTCTAGAAATCCATTAAAATGGCTCAAAACTTCTAAAATCCATATCTAATTCATTCGAACTCCGAATTGAGCCGTTCAACTTGCAAAATTCATCTAAAATTGAGCTCTACATGTTTGTTTAGTTTTTATGTACTATTTTCTTGGTTTTTATTAGAGTTTTTCCTCGTTTTGCGTGCCAGCGTGTAGAATCCGTCGTTTCGGAAGATCGCGGTCGCGAGGAAAAGAGTTTAGAAGATCAAAGTGAAGAAGCAAGGCAAGTCGCACATTCCCCTTGAGCATGTTGATCCCAATTTACAAATGTTTTACTGTTTGCAAATAAATATGCATGTTTTGCTAATTACATGGGATCTGGGTATTACCTATCTGCTCGCTTGTGCCATGTTTACTTGATATCTGTTCTTTGTCAACCTTGGGTAATAAATCGACTAGCTCATGTTACTTATGTGACCTAGCTAGAACTATATGCTTAGCCATGCTTAATTACTACTAGCTCAGTTGATGGGATAATTACAGTATTAGACCTTTTTAGTATCAGAATGAGCTATGTGCTCAAGACATCTGGCCATGCTTCATGGTCGTAATTATCCAACTAAAATGCGACTGAATGGTGGGCTGTGGGTGCATGGTTTTGCTGGTCGCACCCATGGCAGTTAAGGACCGGTTCGCGGGATGCCCTGGAAGAACTTATCGTACTTACCACAAGCCAGCGTGGGCAACGGCTGGGCTTGTAGTGTAGCTTTCCTCTAGCCGACGCATCCAGGCAAGGGTGGGCGTGATGGAGTTTGGATGGGCCCTGCGACGGGCTACGCGGCTTTCGGATTCACCTAGGCACGAGAGGGGACTGCCCGCTGCCTTGCGAGGAGTGGGGGTGAAACCTGAGGTGTGGTGTGCTTGGTTAGAGGGGGTTATGCGAAGGGTCCTGTCACGGCCTCTTTCCGGTATGTCGTGGTGGCATGTCGGCGCACGGAAACGTGTTGTGGGGCTGTGTCTTGTGGGTACTGTTGTACACCTCTGATCAGAGTAAAACTATTCGAATAGCCGTGCCCGCGGTTATGGGCGGTCGACCAGATTCACCGTGATTAGTCTCACACTTAATAAATCGACCCAATACACTGTAGTCCAGGTGGGTTGGTTGGGCCTGTTCAACGTGGTGTAGCGTTGATCAGTGGAGATTCAATGTTACTTTAATTACTCAACAGTTTTACTGTTTTGCTCAATAAAATGTTTTACAACCGCCTTTATGCAAATAGCCACAAACCGTCCTTGTGTTCCCCTTGCACGTCTGCATCGTTGGTGTGGCTTGTTGAGTACGGTGGTTGTACTCAGCGTTGCTATTATTCCCCCTTTTCAGAAGTGTAGTGCTTCTGAGCTGAAGATGGAGTTAGAGGACCAAGGCTCAGACCCCAGTTGAGTTTTGCTTGTGGAGTGGAGCTGAAGCCCCGCTAGGATCGCCTTTTTCCGCTGCTGCTGCTTTTGTTTCGGTGTGAGGACTAAGTGCCTCTTCTGTAAGCATTTACGTTTTATTTACGTTGGGAACTGTTTATTACTTGTCGTTTTGTGTACCCTGGCTGGTCCTGGACAGGGATTTAATGCACAAAATAGTCTGGAAATTTGGGCTAAATTTCTGGGCGTGACACCGCCGGACGCACGCCGCAGGAGGAGGAGCTGGTGACGCTCTGGGCTGCGTTCATGCTGCTTCCCGCTGGTATGCCGGACAAAATGACCGCCTATGCCTTGGAAGACGGCGCTCTCGTTTCGCCAGAGGGTAAACGTGCTTCTTCTTCAGCCGATTGGCAAGCCGGATAATGACCAAATCCTGCTGGTTGCTCATGGCAATCTCCATGTCACCAAGGGTGCCTTCATAGATAATTTGCAGTACGAGCATGATGCCGAGGAACAAGAAATACTGCCTAAAACATGGGATGAAAACAGGACACTGTACAAGGTGGTTGAGATGGAGCTCTCCCTCATGTATGACATCCTCTACACCAAGGCAGCGATGGTGCACACCTGGGGTGGCTACGCCATCCGTGTCGCCTTTCCGTTCACCGGAGCCACCGCGTTCCTGTTGTTCTGGTTCCACAGCGAGGATGGTCAGTCGACGGCTGATGTCTTCATCACCTATATATTGCTGGCCGGCACCATCATTCTGGATATCATATGGCTTCTCAAAGCACTGGTGTCGACGTGGACCTATTCTTTCCTGAATGATAGGCCACGAATCTGGCTTCATCACGCACTTCTGTGCTCAGGGAAATGGCGACTACTCCATCGTCTCATCGTCTCGCTGAATCTATTTCGGTTCCTTCTCAATAAGGAGCCAACCAGCTATAGGATGTGGTCCGGAACCATGGGGGCAGTACAACATATTACACGAGTGCACTAGTAATGATCGAGATCAGACCAATACCTTCTTGCTGAGGAGGATATTCTCCTAATTGGTGAAGATGAGCAATTTTACAGTCCTTCAGGAGGGACTATGAGGTACCACTTTATCTATTGTAAATTTGGTACCTCTTGTTACCTAGGTACCATAAGGTACCAAATTTTACACTAAATTTTTGGTACCTCATGGTACCTCTCCTCAAGGATCGTAAAATTGCTCGGTGAAGATAGTTCCAGAGGATAATTGGATGGAGTACCAATACCACTCCTTGAAGGGCTTTCATATGTCATCAGATGTAAGCAAGCATTTGTTCGAAAGTATATGGAAATCTCTTAAGTTAGCGTACCCTCCTACTGTTCCTATCGACAAAGCCAAAGCAACTTTGCCTCCGGCGCCATTTCCACCACAGCATCCAGGTCGAGCAGATCCGGCAGAAATGATGCCGCCGACAAAACAAATTGTACGCCAGCGGGAATTAGAAGATGCTGATCTGAACTTCTCACCTGCATGCCAAGAGAGCATCCTGATCTGGCACATTGCCACGGACGTCTTCCTCTTATGCAGCCATCAATACTCATCCTTATCCAAAGAAGTGCAGGCGATCAAGCTGTTGTCAGATTACATGGTGTTCCTGGTCGCGGTGCGCCCCAATATGGTACCGGGCCTTAAGCTACGCAGTCTGTACGTAGCAGTTGGTTACGCTCTAACTAATGACGATGAAATATTGCCCAAGGAAGGATATCACTGTAACTTGACAGAGAAAAAGGAGAAGCTGGCCAATCGCCTAGTAGAAATGGAACAGAAGCCAAGCTCAAAGAATGCGCCGCGCAGCAAATGGAGACCCGGTGTCAGCGGACACGTACTGGTTCAGGCCAGAAAAGGCAAGTATTCTTTACGACAAGAATATAATTCTCTCAGACGGAACGAGTTTCGCGCGCGTGCTGCTAAGTCGTATAGGCCCGAACCCATATACCCCGCATGATATAGATCTTAATTACACAAGATATCAGAGACTTATAGATATGATTCCTGATTTGGAAGACGAAAGTAACAGGTTTGATATGATACATCGAAAATGATGAGCCTTATCTTCAGGGCATGGGTTCGTTTTCTGGTGTATACATCCGTGCGATGCACTAGGGATTCCCATGCCAAGCAGCTCGCCTGTGGTGGTGAGCTCACAACAATCATCTGGATCCTTAATGAATACGCTGGTATATTTCGCATCGACGGTGACCAGGGGGATGACGACAAGGACAAACTGACGAGTTCATATTTATAGTAACGAACATCGTTTGCACCTTCGACTGCAACTCATCGATTAATTTGTTTTCCTTGTTGATAACCTATATATATAGGGCATGTATCTCATTTCTTTTGTCTACATACGCTCTGTAATTAACTCACTACACTACTTAAAAAACCATTTTAGCATGCCCTCACCATAAGTTCACATACGGATAAAAATGCACAATGTCTACTTAATGTTTACTAGGTTAGATCGAGGTGATTAAGAAGCCGCCCACCGCCTCGAAAACTGTTTCAATTTACCCGAGCGACATAGTTAAGAAGCTGTCTGTAATACTCCCTCCATCTACTTTTGATAGTCAAATTTCCAAATCTGAAAATTCTATTTTTAATAGGCATATTTCAATTCAACAACCTATCATCTTAATGACTTTCTCGGATTTAATGCATGACTCTCCATTCTTCCACACAAGATTGGCTACTTGAGCATCGTGAAATGTAAATATTAATGAATCGCTTGTTTACGAGGAATGACTAGTAGCATGTTTAAATGGATGATAAGTAGGATTACTTATTATTGGTCTGTGTACCAAGATGAAATATAACTATCAAAAGTAGATGGAGGGAGTAACTAATAACACCATGCGCGCCTTGAGGCACCGGCTAAAAATAAATGTGGATTTCCACATGCGGCTGCCTCTTGCTCACACACGCGGCCGCGACCATCATGCTCCACCCAGCGCGCACACGATCTCTCGCCGGCGGCCTTTGAGGCTTCTGTCCTCAATGGGATGGGAAGAAGAAGAAAATAAAACAAGGAGCAAGAGGACAGAAAAGGATTTGACGAAAAACGTGATGGTAGTAGCAGTGGGTTGGAAATTTCAGACCGAAATTTCCGAAAAAATTTCGTTCATTTCGGTGACCCCTGATACGATATTAATTTGGCCGAAATTTTTGAATTTTTCATTTTTTTCATGAATTTAGATAATATTTGTTCAAATTCAACTAAATTTTGTTCAAAATTTCGAACCAAAATTTCCGAAATTTCAGGATTTCGGTGACCCCCGATAGAAAACCCTGAACCGATATAGTGAATGTAGCACAGATCAAATTTCCTACGAATTTGAATGACATGAATCTGAATAGACAAATAGAAGTGGCATTTATCTAAATAAGCATATTTGTAATGGCATAGATCCAATTAGCCCTAACTAATACCAGCCAGCAAACAAATCTTTTTTGCATTCATGTGGCTAGCAAGGCTGTGCTTGGCCAAGACGAGAGTTATTACAAGCCAGCCTAATTAATGACGGCAACCAAACAGATCCATAATTATTGTTGGGTTAATCTAAGTTTTTTTTCGAGATATAGAAATTGCGAGCATGTTCCGCCATAATCCACACAACCGTTGTGAGCTCACCGCCGCTGCTGAGCTGCTTGGCGTGGGACTCCCTGCTGCATCGGTGGCTAACGTAGTGGAGCATCTCCACCCACACCTTGAACAGAAACTCCAGACGGGCCCCGTCGTATTCGTTGAGCCTTTTGACTAGAAGGAGGGCAAGCGGCAGCGCACTGAGCGAGACCTTATTGTGTTTCCGGTTGTTGGCACTCAGCTTCTCGGCAAGGCTCTGGACGGAGGACCCGATCCTACTTTGGATGATATCTTCGATGGTTTTACTGTAAATAGTGCGTAGTGCAAGACCAGGTACCATGTAGGGACGTTCCACCACTACGAACATCATGTAGTTGGAAATAAGATTGATTGCTTTAACGTACTCGGTGGTCTCTACCTTCTCGGAGGTGCGGAGGTAGATGTCCGTCGCGATGTGCCAGATAATGATTTGCTGCTGGATCTCGTCGCGGAGTAACCTCCCGAACAAGTCGTTCACTTTCTTATGGCCATCCTTATGGCCTTCCTTTTTGGCTAATTTCTTCAGGATCCTCCAGCCCCTTTCTGCCTTGAGCAAGCCCGTCGAGTCCAATGGGATACCCGATTGCCCTGTTGGTGGTTCATCTTCATTTTTGTCCTTTTGGGCCTCGTCATCCTTATATTTGTCGTCGATTCTTAGAATATCTATTAAATAGTTGAACACCTGCTCCATGACACAATCAGGAATGACCGTGGTGCCGGAGTAGGTGTTGTCTTTCTTGCGCCACTCGACATGTATCTTCTTGGCAAGGTCGCGTGTGCAGAACTGCAACATGTTGTGCTGCCAGATGGTGCCGGACCACCTTCTGCTGTCCTCCGCATTGACAAGCCAGCGGATCCACGCGAGCACACGGCGGACCTGGCGCCATCGCCCGCCGCAGATGGCCGTGTGGTACAGCCAACCCCGCCGTGGCATGCGGATCAAGAAGGCGTACGCCCAGGTCGACCCGGCTGCCATGAGCAGCCACCATGTGTCTACAAGGACGGCGCCAACCAGCAATGTGTAGGTGATGGCCACGTCGACTAGCATAGCCCCATGCCCAAGGGCGCCGTGGAGGCTGAGATGGAACATCACCAAGGCACCGGCGGTGGCCAGCGGCGAAAAGACACGGATGCAGTAGCCATGCCACGTGTGGATGACGCCAGCCTTGGTGTACATGATGTCGTACAGCAGGGAGAGCTCCATCTGGAGGACAACCCACGTCTCGTCCCAACGCCATTGATCAATTGTAGCTTTCTCGTCCCAGGAGATATCAACCAACGCGGCCTTGCACGCGCCGAAATTGGCATGAGCCTGAAGCAGGGCATAGTCAGGATCTTTCTTGCTCACTGCAGGTGGAGTGGGAGGATCTCTAGCTCCTCCCTGCTCGCTGTCTCCTCTCTTCTTCTCCCTCTTTGCCTCCTCCTGCTTCTGCTTCTCAATTGTGCTCCGGATGGTGCTCAGGTGCCCATTGTAGAGCGCCCATATCCTCTCCCCGTACTTGACAACACCGACGACGAACATCAGCCACGACGCGGCCGGAAGCATAGCCAAGCTGCTGCTGCCGCTGCCGCTGGAAGATGCGACGAAAATGGCGTAGCCGGCGGCAAGGATCTTGGCGAAGAAAGTGGTCAGCAGCAGGCGCAACCAGAGCTGGTTGTCCTGGATGGCGTAGGCGCTGATGTTATCCGGGCCACCAAGGTGGACCAGCAGCAACGGCGCCCAGAACGCCAGCAGCTGCTGGCGCTCCCGAGACACCAGCGTGCCGTTGATGGAGAGGTGGCCGAGGCCATATGACAGCCAGACGATACGACAGCCAGACGAAAAACACACGCACGCCTCCGGCGCGGCGCCGCCGGATCCCGGCGAATAAGAGGAGCACTAGCTGCAGCCCGAAGCTGGAGAGGACCACGAACTCGATCGTCCATTTCCTCCAGAAGTACGCCGCGGAAGTGAAAATCTGCACTATCAGAGAGGCAGCTCCGGCCATATAGACATCCGGTGGAGACGCGGCCGCCTGTGCTCTCCACGGCCACGCACCTGAAAATTAATTCAATGTGCGCGCGCGCACCATCACAATCACAATGTAGGAGTAGTACTAAATATACACAAGCACAGGTGCAAAATTTACGAGACGGTTTGCAATTCATGTTGATAATATCACGAGATATCTGATACTACACCTTGCTCCCCCCCCCCCCCCCACCAAAAAAAATCCCAGATGATGGACGGGCAGTTACAGTGAGCACACAAACCTTAAACTTTGGTTTGGAGTTGATGGAGTCCAATCGCTTCAGTTCTCTTTTTTGTGTAATATACACACATATATATAATCGAAAAAAGCAGGGGTAATAATTAGTTTAGTAAGGACAATAAACAATTGATGTATAGATCGAGAGAGGCTAATAATTGTTAGCTTTTCAAAATAAAATATTTCTACTCGTCCCTTTTGAGAAACATATAGAAATATAAATAGCACATGCTAAAGGTGCCGTGAAATCGTACAAAGCTACAGTGCAACTTTTAGCTATTTGAAGAAGCGCAATTTTTTTATATCTCATAGATTAAAAATATCAGTCACCGGATCATTATCTTAAAAAAAATAATCCACAACCTATTAAATATAGAAAAAATATTTCTTGTTATTTGTTAGTCACTAAAACTAGCATGCCTAATTCTAATATTTAATATGGTTGTGAAGTGAGCGTAAATCAATTAGTTAGGTTTTTTGTGGTAGAACTAGCATACTCAGGCCTTAGACTTGACACGTGCGCTCGTATTTATGAATAATTATTCTTTTCATAGTAGATGACATATCCATCGACCTGCATTTTTACTGTGTTTGATCGGCAAGTTTGACCGTGCACACCACACCAGTTAAACCGATCTCCTCTGTTCGGTTTGTTCAGTCCCACACAAAGACAAATAACCACTTCACCAATTTTCCACCTATTATTTATCAATTTTTTTGATTATAACGTAATTTATCGTACTTATAAAAAATACGATGAGGTAGGATTTCTTTTAGCATTCTTTTTACCATCAATAAATAACATGCCCACTCATCTACGCGGGCTTCCTTTCTAGTTATATCTACCCTATAATACACCAACTCATCTTACTCAAACTCATTCATCATTGAACAAATCGGACGGCCTAAATCGCTCCCATTAACGCCCACCGCTAGGATCATGTCACGCCCAGAAATTTAGCCCAAATTTCCAGACTATTTTGTGTATTAAATCCCTGTCCAGGACCAGCCAGGGTACACAAAACGACAAGTAATACACAGTTCCAAACGTAAATAAAGCGTAAAATACTTACAGAAGAGGCACTTAGTCCTCACACCGAAACAAAAGCAGCAGCAGCGGAAAAAGGCGATCCTAGCGGGGCTTCAGCTCCACTCCACAGGCAAAACTCAACTGGGGTCTGAGCCTTGGTCCTCTAACTCCATCTTCAGCTCAGAAGCACTACACTTCTGAAAAGGGGGAATAATAGCAAGGCTGAGTACAACCACCGTACTCAGCAAGCCACACCAACGATGCAGACGTGCAAGGGGAACACAAGAACGGTTTGTGGCTATTTGCATAAAGGCGGTTGTAAAACATTTTATTGAGCAAAACAATAAAACTGTTGAGTAATTAAAGTAACATTAAATCTCCACTGATCAACGCTACACCACGTTGAACAGGCCCAACCAACCCACCTGGACTACAGTGCATTGGGTCGATTTAATAGGTGTGAGACTAATCACGGTGAATCTGGTCGATCGCCCATAACCGCGGGCACGGCTATTCGAATAGTTTTACTCTGGCCAGAGGTGCACGACTGTACCCACAAGACACAACCCACCGACATGTCACCGCGTCATCATGTGCCCATGATGCACACGTCACCATGTCGAGTGATTGTGACGAGACCCTTCGCATAACCCTCCCCTAACCATCCACACCACGCTAAGGTTTCACCCCCACCCCTCAAAAGGCAGTGGGCGGTCCCCTCTTGCGCCGCGGTGAATCCGGCAGCTGGACAACCGGACACCCCGGCCGACCCAACTCCATCACGCCCACCCTCGCCACCGGTGCCTAGGAAAGGGTCGAGCTATACTTCAGATCAAGCAGTTACCCACTCCCGCTTGTGGCAAGCGCTGTAAGTCTTCCAGGGTTTCCCGTGAACCGGTCCTTAATTGCCATGGGTGCGACTCACAAAAACCATGCACCCACAGCCCACCATTCAGTCGCATTTTAGTTGGATAATTACGACCATGAAACATGGCCAGATGTCTCGAGCACGCGGCTCAACAAGATACTAGAAAGGTCTAATACTGCAATTATCCCATCGACTGAGCTAGTGGTAATTAAGCATGGCTAAGCATATAGTTCTAGCTAGGTCACATAAGTAACATGAGCTAGTCGATTTATCACCCAAGGTTGACAAAGGATAGATATCAAGTAAACATGGTACAAGCGAGCAGATAGGTAAACCCTGATCCCATGTAATTAGCAAAACATGCATATTTATTTGCAAACGGTAAAACATTTATAAATTAGGATCAACATGCTCAAGGGGAATGTGTGACTTGCCTTGCTTCTTCACTTGGATTTTCCGAACTCTTTTCCTCGCGACCGCGGACTTCCGAAACGACGGATTCTACACGCTGGCACGCAAAACGAGGAAAAACTCTAATAAAAACCAAGGAAACAGTACATAAAAACTAAACAAACATGTAGAGCTCAATTTTAGATGAATTTTGCAAGTTGAATGGCTCAATTCGGAGTTCGAATGAATTAGATATGAATTTTAGAAGTTTTGAGCCATTTTAATGGATTTCTATAATTATTACCAATTTATTGCGCAATTATTAATTATTTTTACAAAAGAAATGGACCTCGCTGACGTCAGCAAGGGGCGGCCGGCGCCGACAGGTGGGTCCCAGGCGTCAGCGGCTCAAGGGGGCTCGGTCCACCATGGACCGGGTTCACAAGGGCGGTCCACCGCCCGTCCACGGGATGGACGGCCCAGATCGGCCCAAGCCGATCGGGCGGCTGAGGAGAGCGGTGGCCGGCACGGGCACAGCCGGGGCTGGCCCGACCGACCATAGAGGGCGGCGGCGCGCAGTCACCGGCGACGGCGGGCGGCGGGCGGCACAGGGAGCGGCGGCGCGCAGCGCGGGAAGCGGCGAGAGGAAACGGAGGCAGTGAGGGAGAGGGAGGTGGCGGAGCTCACCGAGGGGCACGGCGACGGCGAGAGCAGCCGGCGGAGGGAGGCGGCGGCGCTCCACAGGTCGACAAGGAGGAGGGGCTCCCGGCGGCGGAAGGCGGCGACCGGGCGGCGGATGGGGAAGAGCGGGACGCGGCGAAGCTGGCGATGCAGCCGATGCGTCGCAGCGGCGGCCGGGGTGAAGGTGAACGGCGACCGGAGGCGGAAAAAGGCGGCCGGTAGGGTGGTATGGCGGGGAGGTGGTTCTGGTGGTGGAGGGGAAAAAGGGATCGGTGGCCGGGCTTGCCCGCGCGGCGGCGAAGCCGGCTGCGGTGGTGGCAGGGCGCGGGAGCGGCTCAGGCGGCGACGACATGCGGCTGGAGGCGGTTTAGGGTGGTGGCGACTCGGGTGCATGGTGGAAGGGGAGTTTCGGCGGAGGTTTGTGCAAAAGGAGCGGTGGCCGATGTGCGGCGAGGCATGGCGAAGCCGGTGGTGTAAGCGGCGCAGCGCGGCAGTGGCTACGGTGACGGCGGCGTGCAGCCGGAGCTCGCCGGAAAGCAGCGGAGCGCGGGCTCGCGCGGGGAACACGGGAGAGGTAACGAGGAGCTCGGGGAGGAGAGGGAAACGGAAGAGGAGAGCACGAGGGTGCTTTTTATAGGCTCGGGGAGGAGAAATCGTGGCCGGACGTGGCGGATTTGAAGCGGCAACGGCCGGCGACGTGGGCGACATCGTGGGCGAAGTGGGGCTCGATTCGGCGCCGGTTTTGGAGGGGGAAAGTGGGGGAGGAGAGTGGAGGAGGTGGGGCGACGCGGTCCCGCGGTCAGGGCGAGCGCGCGGGTGGAGGAGGAGGCGGAATCGGCGGCGACGTGGGGAGAGCGTGGCGGCGGTTTCGGCTGAGGGAGCCGGAGGTTGGGGATGACAGGTGGGGTCCACGGGTCCCACCTGTCGGAGAGAGAGGGAGGGAGAGGCCGGCTGGGGGTTATGTGGACTTGGAGGAGGGGGAGCCGAGCTGGGCCGGCCCACGCGAAGAAAGGAGGGAAGGAGGGAAGGAGGGAAGGAGGGAAGGGAAGGGAGAATGGGCCGAGCCCAAAGACAAAGAGGGGATTTTAATTTCTTTTCTTTTTATTTTAATTGATTCGATGAACTTTGTGCCATTAAAATTACTTCTTGAGCTCCGAAAATTCACGAAAAATTCCGGAGAGTATTTTAGGGCACAAAGAATATTGCCAAATATTCCCGGCCAATGATTTTTAAGGGAAAATTTTAATTCTCCCATTATTTCACTTGATTAAATTGATTTAACTTTTATTTAATTTCTAGAAAATGCATTATTTAATGATTTTTAATCCCGAACGAAAATCGGGGCGTTACAGATCAGCCTCCCCTCCCCCTTCTCCCCCGTAACTCCAGATCGGCCTCCCCTCCCCCTCGCTCTCTTTCGCCTTCTCCCGTAACTCCTGGATCGGCCTCCCACCCCCCTCGCTCTCTTTTGGATTGGCCTCCCCTCTCGCGATTCTCCCCGCCATTCTCGCTTCCGCTAGGATCCCTCCCTCCGCCGCGTCGCTAGGTCGCCGCCGAAGATGGCGACGCCCGTTTGGCCGTTTGTCGCCGCCCGCTGCCGCTAGGATCCCTCCCTGCGCCGCATCGCTAGGTCGCTGCCGAAGACGGTAACGCCCGCTTGTCGCCGCCTGCTGCCCGTCGAAGAAGGCGATGCCCGCCGCCACCTCCTCATTCACCGCCCGCCGAAGACGACGATGCCCGCCTGTTTCTGCCTGCCCTCGCCTGCATCGATAAACCGTGTGGATCCAGTCCACCAGATGCGTGGGAGCAAAATTGACATTTCGTCCTTTAGCTCCTCTTTTTTTTCAATTAATTATATCAAAATAAAAGAATTATTACATATACAGCACAGAATGCCTCATTTGGTCAATTTATTTTTTTCCTTTAGTGTTTGCATTAATTTAGCACTAAAATTCAAGTACCAGTAGCGATATATGTTTTTTCATAAGTCACCGCACTTTAAAAAATGAAGTGATGGAGGTCAAAGAATATTTGATTCTTGCACTGGTCATTTCATTGGGAAATATTATCTGATAGACAATTTTGAGGTTTCAGAGAAAATTTACATCATGATAAAAAAGAAAACAACATAGTGGTTGGTTATTATGCTGTCCCCGTCATGCCAAATAATAAAAAACTGCATGCAGTGTTTTGCCTTTTATACCAGAGTTAAATGGTTTTTCCTTCCTCCACTGGTGGAGAAAGGGTTTGTAGTCCTGGTTGGTAACCCTATGTAGTCCCGGTTTTTCAACCGGGACTATGAATCCGGGACTAAAGATGTCCATCTTTAGTCTCGGTTAAAATAACCGGGACTAAAGATACATATTTAGTCCCGGTTCGTAACACCAACCGGGACTAAAGATTTAGTCCCGGTTGGTACTAAAGATTTAGTCCCGGTTAATGTAACCAACCGGGACTAAAGTTTTTTTTCTTTTTTTTCTTTTCTCATGTTCAATCTCTCCAAATCATTATAAAAATAAAAAATAACAAATCACACCACAAATCACAAATAACATATAGCACAAATCACAGATACACGAATCATAGATAGTTCACATATCATATATCTCCTAATATCATTCACAAATCACAGATCGCATCACAAATCACAGATCGAACAAATCACACAGATCGCACAAATCACAGTCATCCACATCACATTAAGAAGGAAAAAAGAAAAAAAAGCAAAAAATTCCATGCCGGGAGGCTCGAGGCGCTGCCTGCCGCCGCCGGGGCGGCCCTCCGCAGCTGCCGCGGGGCGGCCCTCCACGACTCCGCTTCCAGTCGCCGCGGGGCGGCCCTCTGCGCCTCCGCCGCCTGCCCTCCGGACGTGCAGCCGCCGCCGCCGGGCCCTCCGCGCGGGGCAGCCGCCGCTGCCGGCCGCCAGCGCCTCCACCACCTGCCTCCGCACCGGCCGGCGCTTGCCGCCGCCGGCCCTCCGCGCCGGCCGCCGCCCGCTGTTGCCAGGAAGACATGGGAGAGAGGAAGGGGAGGAGGAGAAGGAGGAAGAGGAGAAGGAGTGAGGAGGAGAACGAGTGGAGGGGAAGAAAAGCTAAGGATAAGACTGAGGAGGAGGGTCAGACAATGGACACGCGAAGAGATAAACATCGCGCGCGGCTTGGGGTGATTTTTAGTCTCGGTTGTTCTAAACAACCGGGACTAAAAATAATTGGGCTTGACACAACCTGACAACCTCTTCAACCAGGAGTAAAAATGATCTTTAGTCCCGGTTGGTGTTACCAACCGGGACTAAAGATCAAAAAATACCCCTCAACTTTTAAACCGGGACTAAAGATGCTTTTTAGTCCCGGTTTTTATTGGAACTGGGACTATTGTGGAATTAGGCCGACCGACCAAAGATGGTTTCTCCACCAGTGCTCGCAGCTGAAGAAAGAGCATTCTGAGCTGCTGCATGAGGCGAAGGTATGCCATATATGATGAAACAAAACATTATATCCAGGATGACTACTGCCTTCCAAATATGCAGTAGTTGTTTCTCGTGTTGACCCTGCATTAAGTATTTCCAAAACCATGTGGTAGTTCTGCATTAAGTATAACGCACCAAAGATTTTGGCTTTTGAAGAAAGATCTCCACCAACGATCCCCGTCGACCACGACCACACCGCCCGCCGATCCTCCATCGCCGTCTGAACGCGTCGCCGCCCGTTATCCACTACTACGTTGCCGTTGATCCCCTACCGCACACGGCTCTGGTCCACCAACGTCCTGGAAAATCGTCATCTGAATGCCTAAGCCAACGTGAGTGCCTTCTTCAGTTCCTCCTCTTCTACAGGTCTTCGTTGATGCAACAGGATACAAAAATTGATGGAGAGTGTATTTGATTGAACTGTCAGGTCTTCAGTTTCTCTTTTTTCTTGTTCGAGCCAATCGGCCAGATGAGCAATTTCAGAAACATGAATGGATTCATTATCTGTTATACCCTAAGCGCTCCCCTTTAGCAATTGGTTATATACTTTTCAGTAATGAATTTTGAACATGAACAGATAGAGGTACAAATTATATGCCCTAAGAGCATCTGGATGTGATCTAATTACTAAATTTGGTATGGAGTAGGACAAGTTTATAATATATAAATTAGTTGTATGGAGTAGGACAGTTATATAATGGTATTCCTGTTTACCATGCAATTCTGAATTGGTGACGAAATTTCATAGGTTTTATATGTGTTAGTTTATCACTGCTGATGCTGATGTTATAGTCAAATGAGGACTGCACTGTTAATGCACTGGAAATTGGAAACTACAAATTTGTATCATTGTTACATGTTGATATTTCTATAAAATTTGACTTTTGAGTGTACAACCAGAACTCCGTGTATTAATGATAAGACTCGTATTAAAAGAAAAGAGGTTGTCCTCGAAAACACATGTGCAATATTCACTATTCATATCCTACAAATTGATCGATGGTATGGAGGGGGCTGGGCTTAGAATTATTAATATGGTCAACTCAGGTAATCTTGCATCTGGTTGTCATCAATGGGGCTTTCATTCAGCTGGAATTGTCTACAAAATGCACCCTTCATATGTACCTGTTTGCACATGCCTATCGGTACTCCATGCATGGGTTATTTTAGCTACACATGTACTGCTCCAATTTGAGCTATTTTTAACTAATAATTAATTATTTAGTTATTTTCTTGATTATCTGATCCCTCAAATATTAATTATTCTTTTTGCACCTTATATTTACCAATATAGCTATACCTACAACAAAATAATTGATATCTCAAATATGGCTCCTAATCTTTCAGTTTGTTATCCTTTTTTCACTTTGCAATCATTTCGTTGGATGATACAAATGAATGATCCAATCTGAACGACACCATTAGATGAGTTTTGGAGCTTCATAAACATGAATGGATTTTGCGGTACAGATATTTGGAGCTTTTACGGTTACATGGGTACAGAAAAATCAAGAATGGGACACGCCTTAACAGAACAATTTGTAATGCTATTTCTTCAGTTCAAATTAGGAAACACAGTGGAATGTCCAATGTATTAAACTGTATAATTCAGAATTTAGGTGAAAACTTCAGAGTTTAGATGAAAACTTGAGAAGTGATTGCATCCCATGTACTCGAAAGGTTTTTGATGTTTTGTTTCGGTCTGCAAACTGATTGTTTTTTATTGGCGGTTCATCTGCATGCAGAGAAGGTGTTGCCTTGGTACTAAGTTTCTAACAAGTGTACTTGCTGTGGTATTTGCTAACTGCATGCAAATGCTCCATTTTTCCTATAATAATTATTACCCATCTGATCACATAGCATTTCTAATCGTGCTCATGAAGTCGGGAGAATAATAACATCCACCTCGGTGATTTATCTCTATTTTACATTTGCTTACAAGGCAAATTTGGATTTTGCTTAGGGGACCGCCTTAAAGCTTATCAAACGTACTGCACTACTGTGTGCGTGGAAGAGGAATACTAGTTCCTTAATTCAAAAGACTGGTTCATTTGTGGTGAGCACCTTTTGTTTTCTTATCTACTATTTAGCATGCCATTTAAGTACTCGATATTCTTCTAGCAGTGCACATTATTCAGCAATTTCAGATGTTAAATTGGCATTATTCTACAACTTACATAAGCATATGTCGTGCTCTGAATTCACATGTGTTAGCTCTAAATTTCAAATGTTTGATATAGATTGTCCTTATGATGCTAACTGCAACGACCTCATTGTTTATTATTATTATTGGATGCATCCTCATTGTTTATTATTATTATTGGATGCATTCAAGACGAGAATATTTTTTCTTTTTGAAATTACAGGGCGCGATTGGGCGGGTCTGGTATATTTTGGTAGTTCAATAGACCTTCTTAAATGCAGATTGAAAATATTAGTACCATGTTACGAACAGATGTGATGCAATCCATGACATGATCTATATTTTTTTATCACTGAAATTGACGTCTGAATATTATGTTTGAGGTCTGGAAGTGACACTGTGAGGTCTGAATATTATGTTTCAGGAAGAGTTCTATCCAAAGTTTGGAGATGTATTGAATGTAGGCAGATTTGTAAATTGTACATTCTTATTAGTCCTGGTACTCTATCAAATTAGAGTCAACTAAATTATACTCAACTGTATGTTGTATTTTTTTTGTTGTATTTCTTCACTGAAGTATTTCGTGTGTACTGTTTTTTCCTTTTCTTGGCCTGGATGAAATTTTCAATATTTATTATTCTTCTATGAATGAAACTGGACCACTATTGATTCTGCAAAATGTTAGACCAAAACAAGATATATTGTGAGAAATGTGTATGATTACAAATATGAAATTTAATAATTTATGAACAAAAATATTTTAATAAAAAAATATTTTAATAATTCTATCAACCGAAGGGACTATTGGTGTCTCAGCATATATTCTATGCAATACACATATTTTTCTTGCATCGTGACACGCATAACATTTTACAACGGTTTTGATAAAAATATTTATTCATCTCACGCGCGTCCTTCTTGTGTGTGCTGTGCCGTGTCATTATAATGCCTCGCACGTGGCTGATATTTTCCATTACTTTCTTGTTTCGGTGGAAAATAATATTTAAATTATCATTAGTGTTACTTAATATGCATGCAAATAATAGCATAATTTACTGAATAGGTATGGATGCAAATGGATCTCCTGTCGAAAGGCCGCTTTGTTTCAGAGATATAACTAACAGATTAAATGTAAGGCAAATAACACCTTGTAATGAAGTAGAAAACAAGAAGGAAGAAACTAGCAGAAAACGTGAATACCGTGCATGGAAGAAGGCAGAAGCAAATAATCCATATCATGGTACATTGAACCATCTGTTTATACAATTCTTGTTCTAATCTGTACATGTATATGTGATGAACCCTGAGCTCCACTACGGATACTTAAGGCTGTTGTTGGCCGATCTTTCGGTGAGTTGATGATAACTACGATTTGGGAGAAACGTTGACAATCCGACTACAACCGTACTAGACGTTGTTGAGCTGCGCCTTAGCGATCGATACACCTCTCCGTGGGTTGTTGATCTTGCCGGTACAGGTCAACCTTATTCCTGCAAGCAAATCGAAGAAACAAGCAAGAACAAGATAAAACGCAATCTGAATTGCAGATAGGAATTGAACACAAATGATAAGTTTGGGGTTCCGTAACGAGCAAACCGGCGATCTAATCGATCACGGGATTACCCGGCAAAGTAGCAAAGCTAAACTTTAAACTAAACAAAACCCAAGAAACCCTGAAGGGCTACCTAGCTATTTAAGGAGGTGGGAGGACCTCTAGGTCGTCCTCCACCTGGTTGGGGCGCACCCCACATGGGCCCCACTTGGGCCGGTGTCCCAGACGAAGTTACAAGCCCATAGGCCCATTACAGGTGACGCAACACCTTGTTTCTTTGATTGCGGCCAACTGAGAGGGAGTTTGGTGATGAGGCTGGATCCATTGCAAAGAGGACTCCGAGACCTTGCCATCAAGTACTCACGGGCCCAAAACGGAGCTTGTATGCAAATTTGGCGGCCGTTTGAAGTCAGCAGTGTAGCAGGTGGCCGAATCGGATTCCAGTACCTGGAGAACTTGATCTTGATATCATCTTGTTCATCCATGATGTGAGCAATGGTTGTATATGTAGTAGCCATGGTCACATCATCCTCCCCTTCTTCACGGAAAACCGTCCTCGGTTTTTCCATATGGTGCTCTTCACATAGTCCATTCAAAATAACCTGTTTCATCCAATCAAAATAAACTCGAAGTATTGTGATTAGCAATAACATGTTTCTCTAAATCCGAACAAATAAAAACTCTATGCACCAAATATATTTCTCTATCATTATATTTGCCAAAGATATGAAAAATAGCATTAGTTGGACATGGCATATCAGACTTAGCAAATAATTTCTCCTCTAAATTATGGAGCTCACAAAAATCGCCAAACTGAACATAGCCCAAAGTATTTAAAGAAGATAGCAATTCACGTTCCTATACTTCATTAGCAATGTGAACAACATGCTTAAAATAAACACACAAAGAAATTCTAGAAATAGCATGTTCATTCACTAGTTGTGCCATGGATATAAGTGAAGTATTATCGCATAACTCTTTTTTATGACAAGGAACAACAAGTAAATCAACTTGTGACAAAGGCAACTCAGTAATTGATTCCACTAATGGTTGCTCTATTATAGCATGAAAAGTGGACAAGTGTAGCTCACCTTAAGAATACTAATCATTATTTCTCTCAGCACCATTTAATTTACCTTGCGAACTTTCTTCAGACATTGCAGGTGCTTTATCCTCTTTCTTCTCAAGTATACCATTCTCCTCCTTTTGTTGGATGTGCTGATCTTCCTGCAAAACGTTAGTAACAAGGGAGGCAAAAGATTGCTCCTCCAATGTTTGCACATCATCATTGCATAAGTATATAGGAGATTCAGAAATAGGAGATAAATCACATTGGTCATGCGTCCTCGCCTTTGATATGATCTGACTCTCAGTGCTACGAGCAAGCATGAATAGGTGTCCAATATGATTATATTTCACATTAGCAAGAGAAACCTGAATTTTAGAATTAAGCCCCTTGAAAAATCTACGCATTGTGTTTTCATTGCATTCTTTTAGACCACTGTAGATGATACAAACTTTAAATTCATGAATGTACTCCTTAATAGTTTTATCACCTTGTTTCAGATGTTCTTATTTCTCACAAAGAATACATTTGTAATAAGAACTCACAAAACGTTTTCTCATCAAGGTTTTGTATTCATCCCAAGTTCCAGGTATGTTACTCACATAACTCCACCAGAAGAGAGCAGAAGAGGTAAACTTATTACTAGCAGCCTTAATCATTTGAGCATCAGAAAAATCATTTTTATCAAATTCATTGTCTACTGCTAGCTCCCAATCAATATAAGCAATAGAATCATACTTACCATCGTAGAATGGTAACTTAGATTCAACTCGTGCAAAATTATAGTCAGGTACGTCATATGCATCTTGAGAAGAAGTCGACATCTCTCGTCGATGGTGAAGAAGCCGATGTTGAGCATGACCGTCTCGTATCCCCTTGCGCAATCCTGCCATGGTTAGTAGCAAACAAGAAACATACACAAGAATATGCACGCTCCTATCAACTACTAGGTAGTGGAAGCTCCAATATCACACACACTCAAGGTTTTTACCAAGCTCTTACAAGTTCTTATCAAAGCAAGCGGAATGGTGATGTACACTGACTCAACCAAGCACCCCAATGGAGGTTGGATGTATCGATGCCTTGGCAAACACTTGTTGTATGGCTGCAATCAAATCTGTAGAGCTCTGGGTAGGCTTAAATATGTAGCAAAGGAATAGCAAGTGGTCAAATTAGATAATGCAAAGTTGAATGATTGTTCAAAGTCAGTACCGTGCTGGTCCTAGGATAGAACGTACTAGAGACGCGAGCCTAGACATAAACGGTACCACAAAATAGCACTAGGAACAACTCAAGCACACTCTGGTATATCCAAGCGATCCAAAAAATAGCAAGTGATTTTCTCTTTTCCTTCCTTCTTCTCTTTTTCTTTCTTTCTTTCTTTCTTCTTTTTTTTCTTTTTTTTTTGTCGGTGCGGCTTTTTCTTTCTCTCTCTTTTTTTAAGCACCTTTTCTGCCTTTTTTCTTTTTTTAACAAAAACTAACTCAAGGACCTCAATATAAGGTCATAGGGACCCAAATGTAAATATAAAAATTACAGAGACTCAAATGTAAATGTCTAAACCCAAAATTAAAATTATAGAAAAATGGGATGCTCTCGTCGTACAGATTCCATTTTTGCAAATGGATATTGAATCCGATACAAAAAGAAAATTTTACCAGTGTTTGACACACCTGAACAGAAACGGAGTGTGAGGGAGGGAGGGAGTCGGACTCACAAGTCCCGGCCGCGAGATTGGAAGGGAAGAGATCCCAATCGGCGTCGGTTAGGAAAGGCGCCACGTAATAAATAGAAACAGACTCAGCACTTCTTTTTTAGTAGTTCTGCGTGGCACCCCAAATAAAAACCAATCTACAAATTGTAGCACTCCATCCAAAAACCGATCTACTATCCCCTTTCTCTCTTCATCCTCGCGCAACAGAAACAGGTGCGGACAAATACAAACATGGTAGGACGGCAAACCCTAGATGCAACTCCAAAACCGACCGATAAAAACTGTTGAAAACTACAAAAATAGAACCCTGACAGCAAGGCGGTTTCGTTTTTGTAGATCCCGACGACAAAGTGGTACAAAACGTGACCAGAACTTGAAACTCTAAACGAACTAAACACTAAGACCAGTAACACGACTCGACAATGCAACACAAAACTCAACAATGCAAAAAACTGAAAAGAACAATGCAATGGCACAAAGATGGCAAGGTACAGGATGCAATTTTTTTGTAGGCAACTTTTCAGGTTATAGGTAGATAAAAACTCAGCGAGCAACGAAAGCTCTGATACCATCTGATGAACCCTGAGTTCCACTCAAGACACTCAACGCTGTTGTTGGCCCGATCTTTCGGTGAGTTGTAGATAACTACGATTTAGGAGAAACGTTGATGACCCGACTACAATCGTACTAGACGTTGTTGTGTTGCGCCTTAGCGATCGATACACCTCTCCGTGGGTTATTGATCTTGCCGGTGCAAATCAGCCTTATTCCTGCAAGAAAATCGAAGAAACAAGCAAGAACAAGATAAAAGCAATCTGAATTGCAAATACAAATTGAATACAAATGATAAGTTAGGGGTTCCGTAACGAGCAAACCGATGATCTAACCGATCACGGGATCACCCAGCAAAGTAGCAAAGCTAAACTTTAATCTAAACAAAACCCAAGAAACTCTAAAGGGGTACCTGGCTCATTATAATGGTGGGAGGACGACCAAAGGGACTCTAGGGTCATGATCCACCTAGATGGGGCGCACCCTACATGGGCCCCACTTGGGCTGGGGTCCCAGACGAAGTTACATGCCCATAGGCCCATGATAGGTGATGCAGCATCTTGTTTCTTTGATTGCGGCCAACTGAGAGGGAGTTTTGCGATGAGGCTGCATCCGTTGGAAAGAGGACTCCGAGACCTTTCCATCAAGTACTCACGGGCCCAAAACGGAGGTCGTATGCAAATTTGGCGACTGTT